GGTCTGTGTGTTTTTGTGCCCCAGGAGACTGAGCCCAGGGTTCTGGGTCCCTGCTGTCTTCTCCTCGAGATGGTGCTGGGTGCAGGAGGGGGACCCTCAAGAAATTGGCCTTTTTGGGCAGCACTGGAGAGATGAGAAATGCAGCCCGCCAGCCGCTGCATATACCCTGGGCCCAGCACAGAGCCAAGAGGAGAAGGTGACCCACCCTCTGGGCCCAGACCCCTCAAGGAGTCTCTCCTGTCTAGCCAGGGAGGCATGGTACATGGCCAGAGTGCTCGCGACCCATCTCAGTAGTGTTTTTCCTGAACAAACATTCTTCATTTGCCACGGCCGCTTGGGCGAAGCTCACCATGTTGGCTCATATTGCTCCCATCTCAGTGGCCCCTAAATGAATGTGGAGTGCAAGGGGACCTGGGCGCTTAGAGTGGTGATTTTCCCTGACCCGCTGTGTTGCTGAGTTGGCACAGTCGTCAGAGCAAATAGATTTGCCCAGGCAGAACCCTGGAGTGCAAGGAAATGAAGCAAGGGTCAATTTGAACATCATGAAGGTTTGGGGGAGCCAAATTGGAAGACTGAAAAGCCCGGATGAGAGCAAGGAGCGAGGGAGGGAGGAACTCCCCAGGATGCGCTGTCCAGGGAAATACCGGCAAACCAAGCTAAACTCTTACGGGCTCAGAGCTGGCTGTGGTGGTCCCAGCTCATTCTGTGTGCTTTCACCTGACTCTGAGATCCCTTCTGACTCTGTGGTCCTTAGTCTTACAGATTATCACTCCCGGATTATCATCCCTCTGTCAGTCTAAGAAGTCCTCCATTATTAACACATGTACTGCTTTACAGTGTCTCAGTCATTTTTTCCATCTTGAATCAGGCAGCCTCTGTTGAGCCCTCAATATATAAAAATACTGCTGGGCGTGGAAGCCGCACAGGATGCAGTCCCGACCTCTGCAGCTGAGAGCACTCTGTGTTGCTAGATGAGTTCTCATTTTCTGCGTTGCTAGTTGAGTTCTCATTTTCGCACCTGACATTGCTCAGGATGCTTTGTTCTTTTCTTAATTGCTGACTTCAGGACTCAGGATTGCGCAGCCACTGTTTCCAGGATCACAATTCCTTGGGCCTTCTTCATGAGCGTCCTCTGTGTTTCAGCCGCTCGCCTTCCTGGTGGCTATAATTTATATATGCAAATGTGAGTATAGAAAAGTAATTACAACTAAGTGTTGGTGGCTTCATGGTGCTATATGCTATTCTATTACCTCTACAACTTTTATTCTTCAGTGTAACTGATGGGGAAGTAATTAAATTGTGAGTGATTTTTTTGTTTTGTTTTACATTTAGCTCTTCTTTTTTTTTGGTCAAAGTCATATATATAATTTAAAGTCAAATATATTGTCTCGACAGGTCATAAGTGTTGATTTAAAATAAGCAGTCATAGCCAGGGGTTTAGCTCAGTGGCACAAGCACCTACCTGGCGCATGAGGTTGTGAGTTTGATCCCTGGTACCAAAAGTAAAAAAATAAAATAAGCAGTCACACTGGTAAGGCTGTGGTTTTCCCCCATTCTGGGGGTGAGTGTTCCAAAATTAGATTTTGAAGATGGTTGCACAACTTGGAATATATCGCTGCTTAATTATATATTTAAGTAGGTAGGTTATCTATTCTGTAGATTATATTCAAAGGTATTTCTTAAAATAGCCGCTCTTTCCACATCCTACTGCATTGCTTCTCCCCTGGACGCAGATACTTTGAACTCCGGGTCTATAAATCAGGGGTTTGTATTCATTGCCACTTGTTTTTATGTAATGTTTTCTCCTGGCTGAGGATTTTGTCCTCTTTAATTCTGGTGTTCTGCCGCACCCAGTTCTTCTCCATTTCCTCTCTGCACAGGTGATCTCATAGGAAGTTAGATCCCGCCGTGTCCATCACCACTCACAGCCGAGCTGTAGCACAGAATCCCAGCAGATCACACTTAAAAACAAGGCTGTTCCCACCAGTCGGCTGGTCTTACCGCTAGATTTGTTCCAAAGTTTGGGGCTCTCTATGTTTCGTCTTCGTGAAGGGCTTTCCTTTTGCCCTTTTCTGTTGGTCCTCGTCTAATTTTTTATACTAATGAATAGTGGCTCTGTTTGAACTCATATTTGGGTATTTAGACTGCCTGGAAGCTTGTCTTCTGGGAGGAGAGTTTTATCCTGTTTCTGCTTGATTAGACTCAGTGTCTCACCATGTGGGCTAGCTGGTGTTGTGCTCTTGCTTAGCTCAGGCTGGCCTCAAACTTGTGATTCTCCTGCCTCGGCCTTCTGAGAACTGGAATGACTCCATTCATGGCAGGAGGATGTTTTTATAATTATTTTGTTGATAGTTTTCTTCCTTCTGTTTTTCTTAAATTCCCTTGTTTTGCAGATCCTATTTCCCTGTCCTGCCGTTTGTTTTCCCCATCTTGCCCTCCTGTTTTCCATTTCTTTGTCTTTCTACTATACTTTGTGGCAGATTTCCTGAAATCTATCTTATAATCATTTAGTTGAAGTATTACTTGCTTTATTAATTTTAATTTCCATGAGTTCTTTATTGTGTTTTTATTAATTTATTAATATATGACTGACATAGAGAGCTATATAAATTTAATATATACAAGTCGACTGAAAATGAGTACATAACCATGAAACCACCAGCCCGGCCACAAGCACTGTTCCTTCTGTCCTCTGATCGCCGTAGCCGGCCTCAGGAAGCGGAGGATGTCCAGCAGTTGATGGGGCAGTGTGCAGGACGGAGCTCCTGTGTGGCGTGCGTTGGTGATGCTCTTCCGCCCGGTGCTCACATCCACCAGCTCCTATGGCTTCCTGTTCTTTTTTTTTTTATTACCAGGGCTTGAACTCACAACTGTGCGCTTGCAAGATGGGTGCTTATGCAGCTGAGCTAAATCCCCAGCCCCAAAATTAACGTTATCTTCTTGTTTGTTTGTTGGTACGGGCGATCAAATGACCTCGCCCTTGCAGGCAGGCACTTATGCCACTGAGCTAACCCCCAGGCCGGTTTCCTGTTCTTAAAGATGCAACACGTGGGCTGGGGATTTAGCTCAGCGGCATAAGCACCTGCCTTGTAAGCAGGCGGTCGTGAGTTCGATCCCTGGTACCGGTAAAAATGAAAAAGACAAAAAAAAAAAAAAGATACAACACGTTCTCAGAGTAGTTCAGTCATCTGCTTTGCTTGTTTTAGGAATTAGTTTTTTAAGATTTTTCTATTTGCTTCATTTTCTCTGATTCCCTACAAGTTGCTTTCTTCTTTTCATTCTGGCCTTGGCTGTCCTGTTGGAGACTTCCCTTCAGGTCCCACAATGTCTGGCTGGCTGTTCACACTTAACACAGAAACCAGGAAGCTGATGGGACCAATTGGCCACCTGGGCAAAGCACATTGATTGTGACTTCCCTTGTGGGGTGACCTAGGTTATACCCCAGGTGAGCGGCCCCCACCATGACCATGGTTGAGATTTTTAAACCTTCCTCTAGGGCTTCTATATTTCCAAATGAAGAGTTGAGATGGCTCGGCTCTGCTGTCTAGCTCCAATGGTTCAGGAGTTATACAGGGAAAGCCAGGTAATTCACCATGTAAACACTCAGATCCCCTGACGGTAGGGTCGGTTCAGAACTCCATCCCTCAGCTCTGTCTTGTAGGCCAGAGACCCTGCTTACTGTCTTTAGAGAAGAAACTTCCACGTTTCTAGGCTCAGGGAGGATGGTCACGTGTGAATAAAATAAAGGACTAAGAGGCCACTGGGCAGCCCGGCATCCTGTCCTAGCTTCCTTTCCCCGGGCCCTCCAGGCCTCTGACTTTACAGACTTGGTTGCTTCTGGGCACCTTTTTTCTTGGCCTCCCTAGCCAGCGGGAGGCTGAAGTCTGCTGCCAGCTGACCGCATGCTTTCTTGCTGTCAGACTGAAGTTACTGTTCCCTCTTCTCCCAGAGACCGCTCCTTGGAGACTCACACTGTGTTGAAATCCCTTTATTCTGACTTAGTGGAATATCAGAAGATGGTGATACTAAAGGCTAGGTCCAGGTCACCATCCTGAAAAAAGCAAAGGATGCTATTTCTGTTTTTACTCCCGAAAGGGTCACAGTTTTCCTGTGCCATGTCTGTGCCCTCTCTCGATGTGTTGTGACAGTGTCCCCAGTGTGCAGATTATTCTCCTGTCTCCTCTGCAAATGTATCACGCAGTTGTGCAGCAGACAGACCCAGAAGCTGCTCTCCGCGCGGCGCCCTGGGGATTGGTTCCAGGCCCCACAGAGCCTGAACCCGGTGAGGCTCCAGCCTTGTGCAGGCGCTTCCCCGCCCACGCGTCCCCCAGACTTCAGATCATCTCCAGGCTCTTTGCACACTGAGTGCGGGGCGTAAAGAGCTGTTACGCTGTGTTGTTTGTTACCAGAAAAATGTACCCAGAGGTCAGAGGCAGCTATTTTTGATAGGCAGTTGGTTGAATCTGGGGCACAGAATCTGTGGGTGTGAAGGGTTAACTTTATCTGTGCGCTTCTCCTCTAATTGGGTTGTGTGTGCTTGCAGTAGTCAGTTTAGTCCACAGTAAGGAAATAGAAGCTGTGTTATGGGGATGCCCAAGTAGGAGCAGAACTGCCAGCTGTGCTGGTGCATGCCTGTGACCTCTGCACTCGGGGAGGCTGAGGCAGGAGGGTGGCAAGTGTGAGCCCAGCCTGGGCAATTCAGTAACTTAGTGAGAACCTGTCTCAAAATAAAAAAAAATATTTTTTTTTAATTAAGAAATAGGGCTGGGGGATGTGGCGAAGTGTGTGGACCCTGGGTTCAGTAACACAAACACAAAAGACAAAGAAGACATGGTGAAACTCCAGGGAGCCACATCCAAACAGGGGCCGCACAGTGTCCACTTAAAGCTTGGTGATTTGGGGATCCTTGGCTTTCTAATGAACTGAGCACCTGCTGGCTGCGGCCAGTCCCTCCCCCTGGCTCGTTTCTCCCGCACTGACCCGAGCCCATTTCTCCGCAGCAGTCCCCGCCGTGGACGTGAAAGGAGAGCGAGCCAGCTACCACCTCCTGGTGCGCGGCCGGGCGCGCGGGCAGTGCCGGGCCACCCTGCTGCACTCGGCCGGCCAGATCAACGGCGCCGCGGCCCTCAGCGCGCTCCGCGGGGCCAGGACGATGCCGGCGGGGGCAGCGGACATCGGGCTGCGTGAGTGCCGCTGGCTCCTGGAACCGAGCCAGAGCCAGAGCCTCTCCCCTCCTCTCCCCTACATCTGCTCCCCTCCTTCCCTTCCCTCCCCTCCTCTGCTCTCCCCTTCTGTCCTCTCCTCTTCCTCCCTCCTCTCCCCCCCCTTCCCTCCCCTCCCCTCCCCTCCCTCGCTCCTCTCCTGTCCTCTCCTCTCCTTTCCCTGTTTGTGTACAGCATTGGCCTGTGTGGTTCTGGGTAGAAAAAAGATGAGGTAGTTCATTAACTTACCTCCCCACACTGTCATTAATTCACCTTTTATTTTAAGTACATTGTATATTTTAAGTGAATGGTACTAATTTCTTTTCCATGCTGTGTAATACAACTTGGTAGATCAGCCTTTGTCTCCAAATATGGAGTTTTGGTGTCTTTCTGTTTTCAATACGTATTATTTTTTCTGTTTTTCTTTCCTTTTTTTTTTTTTTTTTTTTTTTTTTGAACTGGAGTTCAAACTCATGACCTCCTGCTTGCCTAGCTGGTGCTTGTGCCGCTGGACTACATCCCTGCCCAGTACTGTTATTTTTCTAGAGCTTGTTTTTCATTTTCACTTCCTTTCTCTCCAGCCTTTCCTAGTTTATTGCTCATCTCTCCCCCACTGTGGTCCCTGTTTGGGGGTACCTACTGCTGCCCCACCACTGCCCCAAACTGAGGCTAAAACGCTCCTCCCCTGGTGCACTGGGCTCGGCTGGGGACTCCTGTGTCGCGTTCCCACCATGCCCAGCCCGGGCCCCTGAGCCCCGCCTGGGTCCTTCCACTGCTGATTTGTCTGAGCCCAGCGAGGCAGAACACACTTAGGCACCACAGGTTTCCCGTAAGCAACAGGCGGCAGTGGGCGGAAGACCCCGGCCAGTTCCAAGCGGTCCTGAGCTTGACAAAAAGGACCGGGGGTGGGGGTGGGGGGCATCCAGGCTGCTGCAGGGGAACCCAGGGGGACGTGACCTGTGCGTGAGCTGTCCTGGGGCCATGGGGCTCACTGGGCAGAGCTGCAAAGACAGCCGCTGGCTCATGGAGGAGACAGCAAGGAAGCCCGGGTTGTTCCCCAAATCAAAGCAGAGCATCTGGCTGTGCAGTGCAGTCCAGTGGGCACCAGGGCGCGGGGTGAAGCAGGGCAGAGGCTCAGAGACGCGAGTGCTTTTTGTCTTGCAGGCACGCTTGGGAACTGGACGTTGACTGCCCACCGCCGCATCTTCCTTACTGAGTGCTTTCTATTTCTCAGGCTGTCCGGTGGACCTCACAGCAATTCCACGTCTCTCGGGGGAGCAGGTCGTGCAGAGGGAGGCACGCCTGGCCGCAGCACAGGCCCTGGTGCTGAGGGGATGCCTAGGTGAGTGGTGGCCGCAGGGCACTTGGCCTGGCAGGTGGCGGCCAGCAGCACAGCCATTCTTACTGGCATGCTTGTCCTCACACCGTGCCTTGCAGACACCATGCTGGTGTCTGCAGCCTCACTTCCACCAGATTCAGGGTATCGCTGCTTATTTGGATGTCACAGTGGCATCTAGACAGACACCATGCGAGGCAAATTTTGTTTTGTAGTTTGTTTTGGACTGTGTGATAGAAAAAATAGAGAAGTTTTCTTATTCACATACATTTTTTTCTTTATTTCTGGTAGTATGAGGGTAGATATTGCAAACAGAAGAACATGGAAGTCCAGAATAATTGGCGCTTGGGCCTTGGTTAGACTTTGATCGTGGCCAAGAACCTAAGCACGTTTCTCCTACTGAATGAAGGTGACATTGTGCATTTTTCTTATTTGGGAAATTAATATTTTTCCCTCTCTCCTTCCCTCTGCCTCTCCCTCTTTTCCTTCTTTCCAGCAGCACTGGGACTTGAACCCAGCTCCTTAACACCAAGCTCCATCCCCAGCCTTTTTTTATTTTGAGATGGGGTCTCTGAATTTGGGATTCTCCTGCCTCAGCCTCCCAGCGTGCTGGGATAATAGGAGCCTCACCATACCCGGCTAATACTTGGTTTCAAGGATGAGTTTAAGGGTTTTGGTCTATTACTAACTTAGTTACTGGTCTTGATATTTTTGTAAATCTGAAGTGTACATTATGGCCTAATATGAACTTATTTTAAGCATATTATTGATACATAATTTTCAAGAACCACATTAAAATCATTAGACCTTAGTTTCATATGGAAAAATTATTACAACTATATATTATAAAATAATATTCTTTTAAGATCAATTTTGAAATATCTTAAAGTCAGTGGCCTATTTATCCAATAGAAGACAATTTTAAGGTTCTGAGCATTACTTATTCCTGTAAGGCTTACAGACATTTCCAGTTGTACAAAGCCAGGGCGAGTGCATTCTTCATTTCTTTAATCAAAAATATGATGTTTGTTTAAGGAAAAGGTAATGGGCAAATCATTGTCAGGAAAAGGTAGCACATGGAATCTCGGTGCACTAGTACCTGTGTGGACGCAGCGTGGGGATCAGAAGTCCCGCGGTACTGTTCCCTTCCGGACTCTGTTCCGCTGCTCCAGGTCCCTTCCAGGCCTGCCGTCCATCCCACGTGCCTCCTGCAGGCTTTATACTCCACTCCTTCAGCGTCTCTGTTCTGGGACCAGGGCCTCGCTACCTATGACAGGTGGGCACTGAGCTCACTGTGTAGCCCAGGCTGGCTTCAAACTTGCAGAGATTCTCCTGCCGCAGCCCCTGAGTGCTGGGTCACAGGTGTCACCCCTGCACCCGGCTTAGCGCCTCCATTCTCCCCCTCTGCAGCACCAGGAGCCTGGAGGCGCTGGGAGCTCTGAGCTGAGCAAGGCTCCCTGGGGACACGCGAGTGGCTCTGGCTGGCTCCCTCCTGGGTGCTCGGGAAGGGAGGTGGTAACAGCTCCAGCTAGTTCGCTGCCAAGGGCTGGCAGAAGCCCCCAGAGTGGGCTGAGTGGGACCCAAGGCAGGGACAGGCAGGCCAATGGTTGTGCGGCTGCATGGGGCCACCACGCAGAGGTAGGGCAGCCTGGAGCCCTGATCTGCGATCTGTCATCGCAGCACTCAGTCACAGTGCAGGTCAGTGACCCATTAACCCATTCCTTAAGAGAACACGTAGCCAACAGAGGGCCTCTGCTGTGCTTTGTGTCTCCACGTGTCCCCAAAGACTCATGCTTGGTCAGAGGCGGCTGACTCAAGAGAGTGCAATGCTGGGTTAGGGATGTGTGGTCACTAAATCAGTCCACGGATTGGTTTGGCACCACCCTAAGCCTAGGTAGTATAAAAAATGGGCAGGAAAAGCCTGCTAAGGCCCCTTGCTTGCTTTGCTGCCTTTCTGCCTGCTGTGAGCTGCTCTCCACAGAGCCCCTCTGTGGTGCCACTCTGCCTCAGAGCCACTGTGAACTGCAGCCTCTGCAGACTGAGCCTCAGTGAACCTTTCCTCCTTTAGCTTGGCCGTTGGGTATTTTGCCTCAGCACCGAGAAAAGTAACCAACGCAGCTTCTCCGCCCAGACTTAGCACCAGATCACAAATCTGGTAACAAAGGTGCTGCATCCGTGTTGAATTCCTGTGTCCCCAGAACAGGAAGGTGACAGCCAGGCAGATGCAGCCAGCGGATGCAGGTCCGAGCGGCTGCTCAGCGGTTCCAGCTGTGTTGGCCTGGGAAGTGTGTAACTGACACACTGAATCCGCTGATGCCTGGTGGAAGGGGAAGGATGCAGCAAGACAACTCTCTGAAACAAATCAGTGGCTTGAAATTGATACAAAGATTGTGGATTTTGCAGAAAAACAAAAGTTTGTCAAAAAGACTTCTTCAAAATTGTCAAGAAAACAGGGAGTAGATTATATTACTAGCTGGTCAGGTGTGGTGATACGCTTCTGTAATCCCAGCACTTGGGAGGCTGAGGCAGGAAGAGAGTTGCAAGTTTGAAGCCAGCCTGGGCTACAAAGTGAGCTCAAGACTAGTCTGAACTGCATAGTGAGACCCTGTCTCAAAAAGACCATAAAAAAGAAAAAAACCAGATTGTATTACTAATTTACTTTGCACTGTTTCCGTGACAAAGTGAGAAAGAAAAGCTTCTCACAGAAATAAGCGCACTAGTGTTGTACTCCCCAAAACACAAGGCCCCACGATGTTATTCAAAAAGAAAAAAACAAGCAGCATGATGTCTTTTTAAAAGAAGTGCTTTTATTTAAGCTGGCACCAGCAACACGGTGCAAATGGAGTTTGCAAAGCTGTGCTACTGGGTTAGAATTTTGACAGATTTTTATAGTTCATTTACGATTAGCTCGTTGACCATTAAGTACATAGCGATGAGAAACAGAAACAAGGTGGGCCTTTGTTCCCCTTTGCTTGAGGTCAGAGGCATTTCACAGTGGGTGGTTAGCCAGTGCATAGCCCTTGGTCTGCCAATTCCAGGAACATTTGTCTCTCATAAAGGGAACAATGGTTGACACAGCATCATTTGTCTCTTACAAAGGGAACAAAGGTTGACACAGCAAACAGGTTACTTGGGGGACTTGGTTACTGGGGGGACTTCACCTACAGAACAGCATGAGGAAGCGGTCAGTTAATCTGTAACTATGTCATTGGTGCGTGGTTACTAGGGTAACGAGCACAGCACAGAATGACAATACTGCTAATATCTTTTTAACTAACTATTTTTGCTAATAACTATCTTTTTAACTTTGCATTTTAGTTTTTTAGCATTTTAGTACAACAACTAGTGGCTGTTGAGATGCACTGCTTTTTATAATACAGAAATCAAATAAAATTTATTAGAGGTTTAGTTTTAGATAAATCCTCATTAATTTTACTTTGCTTTGAAGATTATATCTATTAGAATGATGACATAAAAATTTTTAAATTTTGTATTTTACTCATTTTTTTATTTATAACTGTACATGGAAACATTTTTAGTGATACTGTGTTTCAGTGACATTTCAAGAAATGGATTAAAAATGTGGAACACTTTTTAAATAAGATACTGTTTAGTATGATGTAAAATAAATACCCCTCCCTTGTCATTTGACCCTCATCTCTTTTGCAAAAGATCCACCTCCCTGTTTCCCATTATCTGTTTTTTATTTTGCCTTTTATTGTATTTTGGGTTTCTCAGACAGGAGAAACCATGTAACCCTAGCTTGTCAGTCTGATTACTTCACTTAACCTTTTGGTCTCAAGATGCATCCATTTACAAACTTACCTTACTTTATAGCAGAGTAGTGCTCCGCTGTATACAGTTCATCTCTATCCATTCATCTGTTACTGGGCACACAGGTTGCTTCCAAGACTTAGCTGTTATGAGTGGTGCTGCTATAAATGTGGGTGTGCGTGGATCACTGTAATATGTCTTTAACTCTTTTGGGAAGATGCTTAGAAATGGAATAGCTGGGCCAGTTGAAATTTCTACTTTTGGTTTTTTGGAGAGTCTCCACACTGATTTCTGTAGTGGTCATACCAGTGTGCATTCCTGCCCCTGGCATTGAAGGGCTCGTTTTTCCTGCATCTTCCGCAGCACTTGTTATTACTTGTTTTCTTGGTGATGGCCATTCCTTCTGGAGGAGGGTGCAGTCCACATGCAGAAGGTTGATCCTAGACCAATGCATCTCACCATGTACTAAACTAAAACCAAGATGGATCAGAGATCTAAGTGTTAGTACAGAAACAGTTGATCCACAGGGAGGTAAAGTAGGTGCAGGTCCCGAAGACATGGGTGTAGGCAAGGACCTTCTGAGCAGAGCCTCACTTGCACAAGAAATAGCATCAGGTATCCGCACATGAGATCATTTCCTTTGTAATTCATAGAACCCATTACAGATGGGGTGCTGCTCTTTCTGCTGCTTCTGAAGATAGTTTGCATTTCTCTTTAATAAATCTTTAATGATTAGTAACTTAATAACTTTCAGGGACTTAGCATTCTTTTTCCAACTCATTTTTCACCACAGCCTAGTATTTCTCTCCCAGGTGTTGTCTCCCACTGACACACACGGACTTATTTGTGTAAATGTTGCTTCTTGTACACAGAAGTTATAGTGCTCATTATTCTCTTAAACCTCATATATTTTCACTGTTTCTCAGTCATTAAGGGCAGTATGGGTCCTCACACTGCTCCCCAAATTGCAATTTAACTGACAGTTCTAATAGAGGCCAGGTTCGTGATTTGACCTGAGTTGTGTCTGTATTTATAAGTTATCATTGTGTTATGGAAGAAAGTATCAGTAGCTTACAAGTGTTTCAAAATGAAATATTTTTAGTGAAGTAATACACAGCTATAGTATGAAAATTCAGATGATGCTAAAACACTTTAAATGCAGAGCAGCAACCCCTTCCCTTCCGCTCCCCGTCATTCTGGCTCCCGGCAGTCCTTGCTGTTGGTTACATTTCTGCTGAGACGCGTTTTCAGTGCCAGATGATACCAGTCTCCTGGGGAGGGGCCGTGTGGACACCACGCGTCTTCTTTCTGTTCACGCACTCTCCCCTCCCCTTCCTCCATCTCTTCCCTGATTGCAACAATCTGAGTAGTATGTATGTGCTGCTTTTTGCTTTTGCGAAGTGTTGAATATTCTTTATTTGGTGTTGTGCATTCACCTCACTGAGTACCTTTCAGAAGGTAAAAGGCAGCATTTTCCATGCAGGGCATTCTAACTGGTAAAGTCAAAGGCAAAAATACAAAGTAGACGCTGCTTCCTTATCTTCAGCCACGCCTCAACAGCTGTTAGCACAAACTGCAACACTGGTGACTCTTGCGCGGCAGAAACAAGGGAGTTTCTCATTATTGAAACCATTTGCATGCCCGGTTATAAAGGCAGTCTTCACTCGGTCTTTTGAAAAGTTGAATGTGACTAAACAGCCATGTTTTCCAAAATGGAGAACAGTATTTACTGAACTAAAGTCACTACCAATTTTTTTTTCTTTTTTTGAGACCGGGTCTCACTATGCAGCCCAGGCTGGCCTTGAGCTCACAGCAGTCCTCCTGCCTCAGCCTCTCAGTGGTGGGATTATAAGCTTGTGCCACCACGCCCAGCAGCTATCAGTTTTGTTTAACGGATCATACTCATTTGTAATTTTTCTTAAATCAGGGCTGTCCAGCAGAAACATTCTTTCAGCCATGCATGATGTGAGTGCTGGTGTGTGAGATCAGGTAAGTTACGGTGCACATGAGAAACCCCACAGGGCATTTCTGGTCTGTAGTAGCTAAGGCATGGCTACTACTTGGGCTGCGTTGCTAAGTGGCCTTTTCTCCCCTTTTCTTGATGCCAATGAAGATGGCTTTTGTTCCAGAAATGTGTTTTTGGGAGTCTCCAAACCCATGTCCTCTCTCCAAGTGACACCTTGGTTCTTGGTGGCCTCTGGCTAAGAATCCAAGAGCCCACCCGTCTCTGCTCTGCCAGGCCATGGAGATTTGGGCCCCCATTCCCCGGGGGCACTGCATACCCCTGTGCCCCTTCACCTCTCCAGAGCTCCGGGTTTAATTCGCTTTTCCTTGCTGGTGAACCGGGATTCCCGGAGGACCTCCACTGCAGCGCCGCCTGTGCACTGGGCCTGTGCTCTTTCTTGATTTACTGGTCCCTGACATCGCTTCTCACCCAGCAGTGGCCGGAAGATCACATCTCCAGTCGGGTGCACTGTCCCTTTCCTTCCCATGACCCTTACAATAAAACCATTAATTTGGGGCAAACTAGAGTCAGTTTAGCATCATTGTAACTATGAATAAGCTGACCCGAGCTGTGAAATGCACAAAGGTGAGCACATCACCTTCTTTTTAACTTGCCGACTCTTGTGTTCTGACAGAGTGTATTTAGCACCTCTGACATTACTGCATGCTCCAAATGTCACAGCTCTTGTGTGTCCAAACACATCTGTTTCTTTCTTAGCTCTCAATTAATTAATTAATGTTTTTTGGGACTACATCACATTCTGCTCCCCTCCGGGTGCCTTGCTTAGACCAGCTGAAACCTTGGAGATTTCTATTTCCTCTTGGAATCTCCTTATTCCTGGGCCTCTTGTTCTGTTTTATTCCCCTAGATTTCTGCCTTGTTTTGTTTGGTTGTTGCTGATTTTATTTCAGAAGCATGCATGACTTCTAGGCACTTCCTGGGGAACCACTCATACGGTGTAATTTAGTTCTGCATGTCTGAAAGTATTTTTGTTTGATTGGTAACTGATACAGAATTCAAGACTGAAAAGCGTTGCCCTCACGATGCTGAAGACCTGGTTCCAGATCTTCCCACTTCGCTGTGTTCTGGTTGAGAGCTCAGCAGCATTCTTTGCAGTGCTCTTATCCTGGCATGTCTGTCTTGAGCCCCTGCCTGGAGTCTCTGTCCCCAAAGGTGCCACCCAGAGTCCCAGTGTGCGATTGCTAGCGCCCTCCGCTCAGCACCCACTCGAGAGCTGTGTGAGTGATGCACCCTTCAACAGCAGAGCCTCCTCTTCAAGTCTGAAAGTTTTTCCTCACTTACCTCTTTCATAATCTTCTTTTCCCCAATCTTTTTCTTTCTAGGATTTGACTAGTTATATATTGACTTTTCTAGACAAAGAGGCTTACTTTGGCTCACGCTTCATTCTGTAGTCCGCGGCTCCAAGGCAGGGTGGCCGGCAGAGGGACCTGACTGGAGAGCTGCTCACAGGATGGGGGACCGGAAGGTGGGAAGGAGGGGGAGGGGCCAGAGAGGAGGAGGAACCCTCCAGGCCACGCCCCTGGGCCTGCCTCCTCCCCCGACCCCACCCTGCCAGCCCCTTAGTCCTGTTGCCTTCCAGGCATGCGAGGCATTAGGAACATCTAGGTACACCAGCAGTGCCAGGCCACTGCCACTCCTCCTCCAGAATTGGTTCCCAAGTGTCACCATTTATCATTTTCTCTTGTCCCATTTTGTTCCTTTTTTGTGCTCTTAGGTTTTAAGAAGTATCCAAAAAATCCAACGGGTTTTAGTTTCATATAAGTTATCAACATGTAACCATTTTTAATGTTCTACAATATAAAATCTTTTATAAACTTTATTATTCACCAGTTTTTGGTGTTGACAAGAACTGTTATCCCTTTCTCCCATAACTGGAAATTCTGTCACTCGGTTAGGATGAGATTGCGGTGAACGTGTGCCTTCCGAGGAATGCAGGGTGCTGGAGAAACTCACTCTTTTTACCTCTGAAAGTATTTTCCATAAGAGAGGATGCGCTCTAGAGAGGCTTGAAAAAGCCTTAGGGTTAATTAGATTGATTTGTCTTGCAGAAAGGAGAAAGTTGGCCAAGGAGCCTGCAGCGTTTTCTGCTGATGAACTCAGAAGTCTGTTAAGGCTCACCAGGGAACGCTTTCTCCGTCATTTGGATGCTCTTACTCCTAAAATGGTTCTAAAACAGGGACATAAAATTACAACCTCAGCCATGTTAAATGGTAAGTTCTTTATTACTTTAAATTTTGTTCTTTGTAGCATCTATGGTAGCTGTTACCATTAAACCTTGTAAAATGCATTGATCCAATCAAAATGCATTTCATTTTGATGCATATTTTTCTATATGAGTATGGATGTATGTATACAAAGGGCCGTCAACAGTGAACATGTAAATTTTTAAGATGTATTACAGTCAAGAGCACATTATCACTTCCCCCGCAAAGTACACCCTCTTTTTTTTTTTTTCTTGTACCAGGAACTGACCTCAGGGCTTGTGCTTGCCAGGCAGACGCTTGTGCTTCTGAGCTACATCCCCAGCTACGCCCCCTCATTAGACATACTTGTCCCATCGTTTTTGCTCTTGGCGAGGCAGTTCTGGAAGTCCCCTTGGCTGAGTGTCTGTGAGATGTGATCAGACGTGAATGCTGCTGCCCAGGGCCATCCCACAGGGAAGCAGGCTCGGAGATGCGCGGCACTGCCTGCTGCACTGTGTGCACCAGATCTGGCAGCGAACAACTTCTAGTTCACCCCACAGTGAAAATAAACATCTGAATCGATTCCGGACATCAGGGCCGCCAGCTCAGCCCACTGAGGACACTCACGAGGGAGGACTTGCAGAGCTGCTTCAGAAAGTGGCAGGGCAGTGGGATGAGGGTGTGGAGGCAAGGGGGACACTGCAGGGGAACTGACCTCAGCGTGTCTTTGGGTGGAATAAAGTTTTTAATGTAAACATGCTCTGCAGTTTTTTATCACTCTGGGTATATGCTCTGTACTTACTTAAATATCACAGACTTTTTGATCATATCTTTTTTTTTGGTACCAGAAATTGAACTCAGCACCTTGTACTTGCCAGGCAGGCTCTGTGCAGCTGAGCTGTATCCCTGGCCGTGTCCCACCATTTATTAAGCACGCTCGATGTAATTGTTTCTAAGGAGAGGGAGAAGTGTTATAAGGTGATCTTTCTTACTATCTTTGCTGAGGCTGCCAGAATGTGTGGATTTCTATTATGCCGTTTTCAGAAATTGAGGGAAGCCAAGTCTGTGTGGAGAGTTCAGTGTGAGATGTATCAGGTTTGCCACTCAGGGCCGGAACGGTCCCCAAAATACACAGAGGAGGCAAAAATCATTTTGATATTTAATTAGATTTCTATTTCCTGTATTTGTTGTTGTGATGAATACGGATGGAGCAAAGCTTCTCAGTATCTACTGAGACAGCGTTTGGAGATCGTCTGGCACAATTTTAAATGTAGAGACAGTGCTTGTTTTTCATTTTGTGAGAATAATTTTATTGCGTGAGTTAATGAGGAAATGGTCACAGAATCAAGTTAGCGTAATGATTTCGGAATGCCTTTTGTGAATTTGACACTGAAGATACATGAGGTGAAAATCCATCCTTGGCTTTCAATAAGATTATAGGCTGTTTGCCAGCCAGGACATAAAAGCAGCAGATAGTGCCAGTTTCAAGAGCATAGACTATCACTCAGGGGCCAAATCTCAGTGTTGTCACTCCGTAGCCGAATGCTTTGGGGTGCATTACTTCACCCAGGTGCCTGTGCTCCCCGCATTCCAGTCGGGACAGTGATACAGCCTATGGCCAGGGTCCTTGTGAGGGTGCTCAGGAGGGCTAAGGTACAGCTGTCTGGTGCAGCCAGAAGGCTGGGCTGCTTCTCATGTTACGTCATCCCTGCTCCATGTTGGTACCAAGGTTCTGCAGCAGCCCGCTTGTTGGACAGGCCCTGGGGACGTTGTGACAGTGCTCACCTGTGTTCAGGACTCTGCTATGTGGCAAAGCCAGGCTGCACGCTGACCTTGCAGCTCACCTGGGGGGCAGGTGTTCTGACCTCTAAGTTGGGGGTGAGGGTGGCTGTGAAGATGAGATTAATTACTTGCAACTCACATAGAAAGTTGCCAGGTGTGGGCTGAGCACCACATGGGTTTGTTTATGAAACGAGGTGTAAGTTTAGAAAGGAAAAGGTAACCAGGGCAGAGGAGTCGCTCGGACACATCACCTGTCCCCCGCTCCCGGTGTCCTCTTCGCCGTGTCCTCCACCTCGAATTCTTCCCCTAGCTTTTGCCCCGTTCACTGACTGTCGTTTTCCAGATGCCCATGTCAGGATGTTTCAGAGAGAGGCTTACAGACCCCGCTGTACTTCAGCTGTTTCTTCTTGTACTGTTCCCTGCAGTTTTTCTTCAAACCACTTGGCACGTTTTAAAATCATGTTATCATTTGTGCAGCTCTTTATTAAACGTTTGTCTTTACACTCTGGCCTCTGAGTGTAAAGCGCGTAGCCACTTGGTGTCTCTGGTATCCTCAGAGCCTGGCACTGTACCTGGCACACGGGGTGGGGGAGCCCCCTGAAATCCTTGTTAAAGCAGTGGAAGAAGCTCTGAAGGTCTTTAGAGCCTTAGCCGAAATTTTGTGGTCTGCTAACAAGGAAGTTAGGGTGCTTAACAGCCTCGCAGCTTTCCTTCGAGTGAGTATTCTCCACGCAAACTACACCACGTGTAGAATCCACAAGGTCTGTAGGATTTCCTGCTTTGAGTGATTATTTGCAGCCAAATATCTTGGGAGTTATTAGTAATCAGTAAGGCTCTTTGGCTGACTCAGTTTTAACGAAGACTCTAGTGTGTATAACAGGCCGGGGATAGAGCTCAGCGCATAGTGGCCTGGCTGACAAGCTTAAGGCCCTGAGTTCTACTGACGGTACCAAAAAAAAAAAAAAAAAAAAAAAACTGAGAAGGTAAAAGAAAAAACCCAGTAATGAGTCATTATGTAGGAAATGCATTAATCAGACCACAGTATTTACTCATTGCCACCAAGTCGGTGAAAATGCTCGCAGTTGGATGTGTGCACCCGAGCTCGTGATCCCCCGTACGGCAGTGGTCTCCCGTACGGCGACCGCCGGGCACTTCAGCGGTGCATGCGTGAGTGCACTGGCTCTTAGGCAAGGTCGTAATTTTATTATTTCAGACATTTAAAAATGATCCTTCTAGTATGCATTTCTGATTCTCGTTCATTCAACCGATTATACCAGTAACAGCACAACCTGCTCTTTGTGACTCGCTGTCATTAGGTGCACGGGACTAGGGTTCAACTTCATTAACTACTTGGGTCAGAAGCGGTGCCACTTCCTTTCTGTTTGCTGCCCTGTGAGATTCGTAGGTCCCTTTTCTCTGCTTTCCTATTGTCTTGGTTTGATTTCTTTGCTCACCAGTAAAACAAAACTTTTTTTGGTTGTTCTTAATTTTAAAAAAAGACTTCTTGGCTGCTCAGAGAACCTTTCAGTACCTGTCTGATCTCAGTGCAGAGTAGCATCGTGACCCATAAATGACATAACTGTGCTTTGTTTTGCCCTAAAGAGTATAGTGTTATTCTTCTAAAAAAGAGACATCTATTGTTTTTCTACTTATTCTTAAATATTTAGCCTATGTCCTTTAAATTTATGTGCCTGTATAGGCAAGGTTAAAAATTCATTATATTGCAATATTTAAAGATATTTTAATACGTCTTAAAAGATAGTATGCATTCTTTTATGAATTTACAGCATATAATTGTGCAGAATTGCTATGATTCATTTTCCCTTAGTGGAAAGCCATGTCTCCATTAAGAAGTATATTACACTGGGGGGCTGAGGATTTATCTTACCAGCATAAGCACCTGCCTTGCAAGCAGGCGGTCATGAGTTCAATCCCCAGTACCGATAAAAAAGAAAAAAACAAAAACTGTATTACATTATAATAAATCTCACTGTTCTATAAAGTAGTATTTCACTACCCTTATTACAAAGTGGAAACTGGTACATTTGCGTGATGGTGTTTGGAGGGAGCAATCCAAATATTGGTACTGAAAGTACTCTTAAAGTTCCATGTGAAATAGTTGAATACAGAAAAGTAACATATAAATTTCTGTTTTTATTTTCTAAAACATTTTTGTTTGAAAATTTTTTTACCAAATCATTTTTTAAAGGATCACCCCACATTTTAAAACAAGGGTCTCTGTCAGGGTAGGTGGTTAAACAGCTAATACTCGGTCATTTTCAGCCAGTTACTAGAACCAGTATGTAACAGTTCAAAACAGTGTTTAACCAGACAGTTTAAAATTCAGAAAGAGTAACCCAGTTAGTGATGTTGCCATTGTTAGCACAGTTTGTGTGTGTTAGCCATTTCTGACATGAAGCCGTGCCTTTAGGGTTTTGTTTAGGGTCCCAGTGTTACGAATAGTCTTATTATAGTTCACAGCAGCATATTAGCTAAAAAAGTTTTACGTGTATTTTCTTAGTAATTGTAAAAGTCAGCTTGCTATTGGTGGGGCACAGTGTCTGACACCCACAGCTAAAAGGGGAGAGGGTTGTTTTGGCTGATGGTCTCAGAAGTTCCAGGCCGAGGTTGGCTGGCTTCATGGCAAGGAGGTCACCAAGGGGCTGGCGGGGGAGTGGCTTGACTGTGACACCCCAAAGTCAGAGGAGCAAGGGCCTGGGCCCTGCTGGGCCCCTAATGTCGCATGCCCACGAGCCACCCACAGACGCCCAGGAGGGCCTTTCACCCATCTCCTTGGTGTCTGTTACACCAGTCAGGTCATCAAGTCAAAATGGATCATCACGGAGGTAAAATAACACTCGAAGTGTTAGTGAGTTGAGGGTATGTATGCTAAGGTACTTGGTATTACTTCAGAAGTAAAGATTATTCCTGAAGTAGCCTTACCTGAGGACAATCCCTGTATTTGTCATTTTATTTATATACCTGAGAGAGTGAAATAACAAAATAACAGCATTATCCTTTCATTCCACGAGTCCTAACAGTGCTGACTTTCCAGTTTTCTAAATAACTTTTATTTTGATGAGATGTTTTAATTTCCAACAAACTTCTCTACGGCATTTTCTGCAGCTCAGACCACCAGAGAGATCGTCACTAAATGCCTGAGGCAAGTCCTGTGCACTTATGTACCTCTATACTTGTGTTCCTACTCTTTATGCAGCAGAGGCAGCGTGTCGCTTCTTTTCGGTTCTTAGGGGCATTTCTCTCTCCTTAGGTGCTGCGCAAGTAGAACCTGACTCTTCGAATCCAGTGGAAACCAGTTCTTTGGAGTGGCCAGAAAAGCACGTTCTTCAAAATCTGGAAACTGTTGAAAAGGCTAGCCAAAAAATAAGGTAATGTGTGAGTCTGTGAGACAGCATGCCATCGCTCAGAACTTTCTTAACCCTTCATTTTTCTGACCTTAATTAGTTATGGCTGTATTATGAAAGCAACGCGTGCTTCCTGTGAGCTGAGACTCTAGAGTAGGGTGCTAGTGAGCAGGGAAACGCCTGTCTTCCTCTGCCTTCTCTTTGCACTTTTCAGGTACACATAATTGCAGTGAACATTTTGGGGTACCGTTTTGCAGACCATCTTCTGTATTCATGACCTATGAATCCATAAGACATCTCGGTGCAGGAGCCTGTAAATGAAGACCACACGGTCTCCTGCTGAACCGCTTGGTTCCCGTTTTGTTCCTTGTGCGTTCTTACCCCCCGCCAGTGCACTCCGGGAGGCGGCCTTCTCATGTGGTCGTGGCTTTAGTTCTCCCGCAGCCCATAGCGAGCACAAAGTACTGAGCTGCTGCTACATGGTGGAATCACACCCTCTTATGTTACCCTCCTCCCAAATACTGCAAACCAGTCTTCATTTTGGCTGTTCTGTTGGTAACCATGTATGACTTGCCACACCTTTCCTTCATGGACGCCAGCACATATTTACTGAGCACCCATTGTCAGGCACTCCAGACACAATCAGGAGCAGGCAAGCCACCAGACCAGCGAGGGTAGCAATTGTGAGCCACTCTGTGTGGCTGGTGATTGTGTTCATGGTGGGGACAGAGGTGGCACTGATGGAGAGCAGGTGGGAGGTCAGGATTGTGGGGGTGGGGCTGGGGAGTAAGTGGGTGACAGGCATTTGTTTGTGCAGCACCCCCGGGCATCATATTACAGAAGTACATTGATACCACTTTTGAAGGGTTTCTGCCAAGAGTGATGGGATCTAGTTTTGTAAACGAATTTTGCTCTTTTATGGCAGATAGACTTCAGAGGGAGAAACTGGGGGCAGAGAGATCCATTAGGGGTTCTTTTCCGGGGTCCAAGTGGGAGACATTCTCACTTGTAAAATGGGCACGATTGCTGGGGTGTTGGTCGTGAGATTAGTTTTAGAAAAATCAACAAGTGTGCTTTAGGGGCTAAGTTTGCCCCCTCATCGTCCACAAGGAAGGCGACCAGCAGGTGGACAGGGGAGACCCCTCCTCTGTGTGGAGTCGCCTACAGATGAGCACATAGGGGGAGACCCTGAGGAGAAGGCACAAGGGTCTGAGGCCGCTCCTCAGGCATCTGCAGTGGTCACAGGTTCGGCAGAAGAGAGCCGGGACAGAAGGCGACAGGACCTTCCCACCAGGTTTATCTCCCGCGGAGAAGATGGCGAGTGGGCCGTCTCCTCTGCGTCCTCTTTCTGTGGCCCAGAGGACAGCTTTTCCACGACTGTCCTCCCCCTCCTGGCCGGTCTCCCGGGGTGTGGCCTGGCCACATTCCTCGGCGGGTGCTGGACTTTCTCAGGCTTCCTATCGTAAAGAGCAGTCTGCTGCCAGGTCAGTTTTTGTTCCATAGTAAGTATTCTGTCTCTAAAACAGATAGAATTTTCCCATTTTGCTTACTGTTTGGAAATTGCCTGAGGTCATGGTTATAGGATGTTTTAGTCTCAAGATTTTTGTCTTTTGTCAGTTCTGGGAGATACTTTATTATTTCTTCAATAACCATCCCACTATTTGCCTGTTTTTCTTCTTTCTCTAAAACACCTGTTTAGTTTGCATTAAACATGCTGGATATTTTAAATTCAGAGTTTGCTTTTTCTCGTGATACTCTGTTTCTCCAGCCTTTGACTGTGTCCCAGGAGGCTGTCTCCTCAGCTTTGCTCTCTTCATCTCTGGTGAACCTTTTGGTGGTGGTATTCGTGTCTTAAGTTTCCTAGTGCGTTTTCTTGTATTTCTGTCCCATCACTGAGAGCAGCATGATCTGTGTCATACAGAGATTGGAGGTGGTCCTGTAAAGGTCCCAGTAGAACTGTCTGTTCATCAGTGTTTTCTGAACGATCTCATGCTCCTTCGAACTGCTTTTTTTGTCCCTTTGGACTTTTTCTCTTTTCCGTTGTTCTCCAGTGTCCAGGGGTCCCCGCTGTCCCTTCAGAGGTGAGAAGTCAGGGCCAGGTTGCTCTGTGTCTGCTCTGCATGTGGGGTCCTGGTCCCCACCTGCCTGCTGCACCCCTCTTCCTGCTGGGCAGGGCTGGCTGTGCAGGGTGGAGCTTGCCGTTAGGGTACGCAGCAGGGACAGGGCTCGGAGAGTTGGCCCCACTGCACTAAGCTGGGGCTTTTTTCTGGGCCTGCAGCAGACTCTGGGACGGGTACAAGGCTCAGTACCTTTAAGGGAAGTTCCTGTGCTTTTAAGACCTGGGAAATGAGAAGCCCTGGGGTAGGATGTGCGGGAGGAGGCGTGGGTGCCGCAGTCTGTGTGCAGGTCTTGCAGTCCGTCGCCTGGAATTGTGCCCATCCCGCTCAGTGTCCCGGAAGCAGAGCCCCACCGTGGCTTCCCAGGGAGGGAAGAAGACAGCTCTCACCTCGCTTGTTCTAGGACAGATGGTGGCCCTCGTGCAGAAGCGGCAAACCTATGGCACGCGTGCCGCAGCGTACTGTTGGTCACTGAGCGCTCTGAAAGGTTCGCCTACTTATCCCCTAGCGTATCCTGCTCCAAAACTTGGCAACCCTTTGGGTCCACTTTCCCTTCTTTCTTCCTTTCCTCTGCCCCACCATGAATTTGCTCTCCGCTACTTCAGCATGATGGTTTTAGCGCATTCGGTTGGAGAGGGCGTGTCGATGTCGCTCCTGGCCGGCAGGAAGGACACACGACAAAGTCTGGCAGTGGACAACCTTTTCTTTTATTTTCCTTCTCCGTACAGCCTGCCCTGGGATCGCTCCCAGCCGAAGCCTCCTTTGGTCCGCTCCCCGTGGCTCCTTCTGGGCTTCTACTTCCGGGCTTCTTCTTCCCCCCCAGGGGTGGCACCAGTATATATACGGATACAGTGTCCAATCATGTTAAAGTAAGCAAGGCAAGCTGATTGGCTAACATCATCAGTTGCCAGGCAGACTATATTGTTGAGCGGGTTGCTTACGCGGTAAGCAGGAAACTAACGTGCTCGATGGGAGGGGTAATCTACCTCAGGCTTTACTCTTTACTACAGGCCTCACGTCCGCCAAGTGAGGCGACCGGGCTCGGGGCTGCGGCTCCCAACATCTCACCCTTTTTTGTTTTTTATGAATGTGCGCATCGTAGCCCTTCCTGGACTGGGTGCAGAGGCTTATGCCCTATATGTAGGCCCACCGTAGGTCCTTGGCTTAGACCCTGGTCGGCCGTCCCATGGTCCGCCAAGGCCCTGAGGCCCTCGTCCTTTTTCTAGGGCCAGGCACAAACTGGACGGAACCTGGATGCACACAAGCTTGCACTCATTTTTTCTCCGTAAAGAAATCCCCTCGGAGAGAAATTTAGACCTGGGCAGCATCTAACAGTCCAGCGGCTTACGTGCAGAATGGGGTAGGGCCTGGCTTAGGTTGAGTCGCACCGGGGGAGTACGCTCTTACCCGTCATTGACTCTCCTACCCAGCTATGTCATAATTTTTTTTTTTAGAGGAGGAGTGTGGGAAGCTCACCGTCCCTAGACTCGGTCGTAGGCTAGGCGAGCGAGCCATGCATATGCCTGAGGATCTTCTTGTCCATTTCGGGCTACCGCTATCTCTATTCATCTTGTTGGTTGGTCTGTGATGGATCTCCGGTAGGGCAGGTCTGATCTTCAGTCGAGGGCTTTGTCGCCCGTGTCAGTCTCTCCGGTACCCACAGTGGTTCTCGTCCCGATTCCTGTGGGAAAACACAAACCGCGCCTCGGTTCCAGCTGACCACTGGATCCGGGCCCATCCATTGTCCTGTCAGGACATCTTTCCACTTCACCCACCCTTTATGGTTGGGGGAAGGGTTGCAGTGCTCCACGGCTGGGGAGCAATTATCATTATTTAAATTTAAAAAATTGTGTGTGAATAGTGCCATGGATAATCGTGCCTTTGGGGCCAGGCCTTGGCCTACTCCCCCTTTTTGTTTTTGTAAAATTTCTTTGAGGCTTCTATGAGCCCTCTCAATGATTCCTTGACCTTGGGGATTGTATGGGATACCATGTTTTAATTGAACCTCCATCATTTTGTAGAACTCATTGAAGGCTTTGTCTATATAGGCTGGTCCATTATCAGTTTTTAATATTTTTGGTTTGCCCCATGCGGCCCAAGCCGCCAGGCAATGATTGATCACATTAGACACTTTTTCACCTGTTTCTGCTGTTGCGAATATGACGTGAGAACAGGTGTCTGTGGAAACATGAACATATTTAAGAGTCCCAAACTCCTGTATATGTGTGATGTCCATCTGCCAAACATCACCAGGGATCAAACCTCGAGGGTTTACTCTCATCGGTATGGCAGGTTTGTATGTGGCACAGAAGTCACATAGTCGCACGATATCTCGTGTATCTGCTCTGGAAACATGGAAATGGTTTGCTAGTGTCCTGGCATTGACATGAAACTTATCATGGAAGGCACGGGCTCGCTCGATTGGTGTTAGTAAGGTAAAAATCCATAACGGGCGAGTGGCAGTATCAGCAGCCGCATTCCCCTGTGTCATGGGCCCCGGCAGGGATGTATGTGCTCTTATGTGGGTGGTGAAGACCTTATGGTGTCTGTTCTGAAGCAATGTCTGGATAGACAGGAACAGCCCAGCCACTGTGGAAGTGGATCTAATTAAACCGGCAGTCTCAAGCACTTGCATAGCATTGACCACATACCTAGAATCGGAGACAATATTAATGGCTTCTGAGAACCGTTCAAGAATCATTTTAACGATCTGCAGTTCCACCACCTGAGGCTGATCAGGTTCAAATTGTATGGTAACCGGGGGCTTGCCTAGGATCACATAGGCGCCTATCCCCGTCTTGGAGCCATCTGTGTATATTGTAGTTGCTGGGACTAATGGCTCAGAGGCAGTAACCTTTGGAAAAATTATAGGGTGCTGAGTGACAAATGACAAGATAGGGTCTTTAG